GATCTCAAATGATTCTAGGGGGGGACAGCTTTACTGAAGGGGGAGTCATGTCCCCCCTGTCCCCCCCGGGATTTCTGCCCCTGGTTCAAACACAGGACAGGAGAACTATTAGTGTGCTATAGGATAACTATAAGTATTGGAATATACTGTAGGAGAAAAGCTGTGGAATGATGCCAAACTCCTGACATCTGAACAAATGGTTTGACTCAAACATGACTCACAGGAAACAAGACAGAGTTTACAGCTCAGCAGGCAGCTCTGCGGTCAGGCACAACGGTGCATTGAGCATAATTCTTAGATCCAACATCACCATTTGCTACTAGGCACCAGACGCAAAGTTGAGATGAGGCTGATGTCATTAGTTTTGTAGTCATTAACCAAATGATCAGAAAAACAAGTCAGGGGATCACCAAAGTTTTACAATTAATTCTGAGGTGAACACGATTGTGTGGACCAATTTAATGTTGTCAGGGGTATGGTAAGAACCCAACAGCAGACCACAAACAGAAGGACAGTTTGGAATAGTCTTTAATGAAACCACTTGCAACATTAACTCCTAGGTCTGAGGGTTCCCAGGACACAGTTTTAATCCGGGAGCTAAAGCACAGAGTGGGAGAGTCTCTAGTGTCCCCTGGATGCACACAAATGGCAAACAGTTCAGTAACGTGCAGCGATACCGTTAGGAGCTGACTGTAGATTGGTCAGAACCGGTGAGGAGTTGAGGGACCAGTGGTGATTATGAGCACAGGGCAGAATGTGCAGACATGCGATGGGGTAATCCACAGCACAGGAATACACAGGCAGCAGAACAGGTAAACTCACAATATAGAGCTGACTGGCAGTGCCTCCACTCAGCCACAGGGAACAGGCGAACAGAAACCAGGAACGTGAAAGCAGAGATCTTGGTTAGGGACAGATGGCTGAGTGGTTTACCAGGGAGCAGGCGAAGCAGGAGAGTAGGAGGCAGGCAAGGTTGGCAATGACAAAGAACAATCTGGCAAGAGAGTCTGTGAAGCGAGAGTCAATACTGGTTGGAGGTAATGATCCACAGGTGAGGGGCATTAGCTTGATGAGAAGGGTGTGGTGGACTGGCAGGTGGGTGTGGTGGAGAGGCAGGGTCAATGGAAATTTACTGGAACAACTGAGAGAGTGGTATGTATGGCAGATAAAAAGTGCCCACTTGACACATGCTAGTCAATCCAGTAGTTGTTGAGATATTTTACTTAAAACCACAAATGTCAATATCATGGTGGCGCTATAGATAACCAAAGTCAGTAGGATTAATCTTCTTTGTGACAGTTGTTCCAGCAGTTATATTTCAGTCTGTACCAAAGTGGTGGACTGACCGACCAACCAACACTGCCATATCTTGAGCCATATCGTTAGCGTGGTGGAATAAAGAGACGTAAATTGTAGCCATGAAAGGATGTCAGCATGTCTTGTTTATTTCTGGTGTTTCTCCCACTCAGTTCAGTGACCCTCACTTTGCTTCATTAACTATCGGGTTACAGCTGCACACAAATTTCCTCCAGCAACTTTGGTATTTTGACAGTGATGGATGGAGACTGATGGGTTGCACTCACTCCAGGACAATAACACACTTTGCAACCACAGCCCCTTTTCACTCAGCACTTTTCTGCTCCTCATTAGAGGAAAGAGGATTTAAACCAGCTCCAATTCCATATGGTCGGGAATCTGCTGCTCCCCTGAGGTGAGGGATGCAATCGATCTGGAATGAGCTGCTGAGGAACGGTTTTTCTATTAGGTGTGAAATTGATCAGAGGCTGTGTCTGTCTTATCAATGAGGTGGGGAAGATTGGACAGGAGGGGTTGAGATGATATCATTGAGTTCATTTTTAAAGGACTGAAATTGGATTTAAAGAAAACATGCTGTGCGACTTTCTCCACTGTTTGCACAGAGAAGAAAATATACAACACATGCACTATAAACAGATATACATTCTTGTTATTCAGAGGCAAGTGTTACTTCAGTGTTTACAAATGTATTGTGCGTAAAGATGGAGTGCTGGAGAGCTGGTGAGAAGGCTGATTGTGGGAATGAACAATGGGCTTCTGCGCTGTTGAAATCAAATCAATGAAATACAGCAGTTTAAACAATAGACTGTATTCAGTTTAGTCACAGTCAGATATAATAAATAACCTCAACAGGCAGTTTTGGCCATGGTTTCCATAATCCACTTTACCCCAAAGGACTCTTATTGAGCGATTTCAAAGACAAGGTCAGTTGAGCAGGAGGAGCTCCATAATGGGGTTAGTAGCATGAATAGATTTATCATGTAAATTCTATAGACTGCATAAACCTGTAACTTTGGCCTCCAACAATTATTTTCTCGCTATTGATGACACCCATTGCAGCTACAGTAGTATCTGCATGGATGAGTCAAGCTCAGGCATTATATGTCTAAAGCACTTACAATAAATTTGAGACAGTTGTTGTGCTGGGCTGGGCGTGAGCATCCACACTGATGAATGATAATGTTCTGTAACAAGTGGCACCAAGCATGTGCTGTCAGCAAATGGATATTGATGAGCTGTTGGTGCTGTGCGTTATGTAGAGAAACAAAAGGAAAGTCATAGGTTCGCCACATTTCAGTCAAGGACATAGGCTTATGAAGTTAGTGTTAGCTACTAACAACTGTCTACTCATCTACTCTACTCAGTGTCCTTATAAAGACTTTTCATTAAATAGGTTCGGTTTGTATGCCTCTGTGTCAGCCGTGGCTGGAGACATTATGTTTTTTGAGTTGTTCTTTGGTCTGTCCCATTCTTGTGATCGCGATAGCTCTAGAACACAGTGAGGTAATTGCTGTAAATTTGGCACAAACCTTCACTTGGTCTCAAGAATGAACTGATTAATGCACAATCCCAATACCCCCCCTTGTCCACTACCCCTAAGCCCTTGGCCCTACCCCTAGCTCTTGCCTACCAAAATGAAGCAACGAGGGGTAGGGGTTGAAATATTTCCCTAGGAATTGGGACACCACTCACTACGTCACCGCATCGGTTACATTCACACATACGTAACTATTTTAAACAGAAAGCTGTGCGCTATCTACATTTCCAACCAGCATCTCATTCATCCTACCGATCGCGTTTGCCACATTCATCATGCTTTGTTTGATGAACGACAGATGACAGGGGACTTCTGCTAGATAGCTAACCAGCTAACATTATGAGGCAGCTTAGTTATACTAGCTGGTGTGTTATCGTAATGTGAAAAGTCCAACAATTTTGCAAAACAGGACAGATGACAGACACTAGATAGTGCGAGCTAGCTAGCTAGCTAGCAAGCAACCTGACGACGGTAACGTTAGCAATGTATGAACTTTTTTCCCCGTCTCTTGCTCAGTGGTAGCCATGGTGACGTCTACCCCTCGCTGGCAAGTCAGCATCTGAAATCCCTCGCTCCGAAGGGCTAGTTTCATACCCACTACCCCTCGTTATGCCCCCTACCCCTACACGCAAAAAGGAATTGGGACATTCCTACCCCTCGCAGGAACGTGCAAATGTAGGGGTAGGGCCAAGGGGTAGGGCTAAGGGGGGGTATTGGGATGGGCCCTAACTCTTGGTGTGACCTTGCATCCTTCTTATTCTAGTGAAATTTGGCACAAATGAAGTAATTACATTTTGGTGGTCAAAGGTGAAGGTCACTGTGACCATGGCTCCGTCATATTGTCATGACTGAAGAATCTCAAAAAGGCCTTGAGGGAATTTCCTCAAGTTTGGCACAAACATCCACTTTGATTCAATGATTAACTGATTAGATTTTGATGGTTAAATGTAGAGGTCACTGTGACCTTTCAAAACATGTTTTCAACCATAACTCGACAAATCATATTCTAATTATGACAAAATTTCACACAAATGTCTAATAGGATAAAACGATGAAGTGATGATACAGTATTTAAATTCATCTTTATTAAAACCATAAATGCTATGAGAATTCATCCTACGGGCATCATCTAAGACTCGACTGAAGCAGAGGGCCAACCAGCTGCTGATGGTGTGGCTTAAACATGTTGAAGTAAAGTATCATGAAAAGTATTGCTATTGGACAAAGATATCATATCGCCACTTTCAAACAATACCCAGAACTGTTGGGCACAGATGTTCCTCTGTGTGTCCAGAAAACTAACCTAACGTGCAGTGCGTGTGGCTCACATTGTGTGTGGGCTGTGTGAAGTGCCAAGAGAGATCATATGTATTTTTTTTCAATATGCTCCACAGTTAATTCCTTGTCCTTGGCTCTGTGCCTCCCACCTCCAGTTTAGATGCTGAGTTAAAAAAAAAAAAAAAAAAAAAAAAAAGAACCCGACTGATAACACGGGTGTTAGCATTACATTTCCGTGACATTCACAGCCCTATTCTCTCGCTTGTGGATTCTTGTTGGTACAGCTGTTTTTCATGTGTGTTAAAATTAGACGTGTATGTTGTTGTTACGGTGAAAGCATCATCACACAAACAAACCACACTAAAATACACACATTATAAATACAGTATTTACATTCTTTCTGCGTATTTGTCCAGATAATGATATGGTCAAAATCTTGCATACATAAGCACCACATGTACTTACCCACACACACACACACACACGCTCAAAGAGAGACCCTGCAAAATGCTCCATTTACCTCCATTTGACACCCCTTATAGAATCACTGTAAAGGACACAACATAAACACCTTGTAAACACACACACACACACACACACACACACACACACATGCTCAGTCATTCATATGCAGGCAGACACTTGGATGTGCTGTAATCAAACACAAACACAGATGCATTAGTTCTCTCTCTTCTCGGCATTGTTACACCTCAGCCTGGTGTTTTACTTGTTTTCTTTCTCTTGATTCCAATCTCTCCACACCTCCCCCATCTCGTCCATCCATCCTCCTCTCGATCGCTTTGATTTGTAGCTGCCTGTGGGGGTTGTATGTACAGTGTGTGAGGGGATTTGGGGAAAAATGATTACTTAATGTCAGCAAATATGTTTCTGACTTGCTCGCACTGTAGTTTTTGCATAATGTATGTATGTATGTATGTATGTGTGCACAAAATATGACTGCTCTTAATCCAATTCACCAGTTACAGTGTAGATGTTATCTTTCAACATAAAGTGAATTTTAAAGCAAAGAGCTAGCAGCAGGATTTTATCAGCTGAGGGACAACAGAGGCAACAGATGTTACTCGTGTGCTGGTCCAGAAAAAAAGTGAAAAAGAGGGAAAGAAAGAAGAAGGGAATCCCACAGAGAGAATGGTGTGCAAAGTGCAGAGGGAATAAAGGGTGTCATGGAAATTATTGCGAAGGAAGAAAGGAAAGCTTCAAAGGTGGGTGACAGGTGAGAAAAGAGAATGAGAGGGTGAGTGAGACAGGTAGAGTGGGAGCTAAAGAGAGACAGAGAGTGGGAGTGAGAGAGAGAGAGCGTGTTGCGCTACATGCCTCTAAGTTCCCTGAAGGTGCGCTGTCGGAGAAGTAGCTGCCCTGCTGAGTAAAACAAAAACAACAGGAAGAGGGAAAAAGAGTGGAGCCTCCAAAAATAGGATAGAGACCAAATATCAGAGAGTGAAGGGAGACGCAGAAGGGGAGAGGAGTGAAAGAGGGGGAAACTGGGGCACAAGCACATTAGTGACACGCATCAACATCGGCAGGCGGGAGCAAGAGAGCGCTGAGGAGAGCGAAGAAGAGGGAGGAGATGAAGAGCAAGGAGAGGAGGAGGAGAACTGACAAGACGGGGGAAAAGTGCTGATGGCAGAAGTGTGATGGTGCACCCTATCAGGACCTGAGAGTGACTCCCCCCCTTGTTTCCTTCTTCCTCTCCTGCCCTGTCTCCTTATCCCTTCTCTGACCCTGTCCCCTCCTCCTTCACTCTCCTTTCCTCTCCTCTCTCTCTCTCTCTCTCTCTCTCTCTCTCTCTCACACACTCTCGCTGTCTCTCCCTCTCTTCCCACAGTCAGACCGGGGAGAGCGGAGCGCCTGGGTCGCATCTCCGTCTCTCTCTTTCATTTCTCTGCCATCCCTCTGCACTCTCCCCAGCTCCTCTGTTTGTCATTCTGCAGCTGAAACCCTGTAAGAAAATTCCCAGAGCTCGGCATCAGAGGAAGGACACGGGAGCAGGAGAGACCGCGGCGGGGGAATAATTTGGGGATCCCTCAAAGAACTGAGGAGTCTTTTGTTCTTTTCATGCTTTTGATGATTGACCTGTTCTGCTGCCTGTCGTCTACAAGGAAAGACTTTAAATGGAAGACTTGATGTGAGAGTAGAAAACAGAGCAAAAGCTTCTGCAGCATTATTTTGCCTCACAGAACAAAGTGATGCAAATGGAGACACAGCGTTTGGAAGTGAGCACCTGAAGACTTAATCTCCAAGAAAAGAACTGCGAAAGAAAGAGACAGGAGAAGCTAAACACAGACTTTGAATAAAAGAGGACGAGAATCAAGAAAAAAAGAACGCTCTTTGAGACTTCAGGCTACCCTGCCGGTCTCTGTCTCCTCTCCTTCTGTCCCATCTGTACCTTCCTCTGCGTCTCGGGCTCTGCTCCCGCCACTGAAGCTCAGCCATGCAGGTGTCCATCGCCTGCACGGACCACAACCTGAAGAGGGGGAATGGGGACCACAGCAAGCAGAGCGCCACCAGCCCCAACGTGGTCAACCAAGCCCGGGCCAAGTTCCGCACCGTGGCCATCATCGCTCGCAGCTTCGGCTCCTTCACGCCACGCCACATTTCACTCAAGGAGTCCACGGGGAAACACACGGGCATGAAGTACAGGTGTGTGTCAGAGTCAGGAGTGTGTATAATGTGCAGGGTTTAAAGTTTTTTCTTCCACATGTTTGTGTGGGCTGCCATGCTGCTCATGTTTCTGTCTATATTTCTTTTCTCGTCTGCTCCATCTCAGCTGCTACATCTTCATTATTCTTTCATTATGCTGCTCAATATTTCATAAGAATTGAGTTGTCCACACACTTGTGATTTTGAGTGTGACTTAATTCCTTTTGTGTTACATCTTTCAGAGTTAAGTTGAAAAGATAATAAGAAAAAAATGCTATGCAAAGTCTTTCAAAGAAGTACAACCTAGCTTGAAAAACACTCATGTTGCAGCACTATTCAGCAACTTTTGGTCGAACTGTTTCATAACATATCAGTACCACAGAAACATCTGTAGTAGTATCATAACACGGGTTTTAACTACATAACCAACCCCTCCTCATGTGGAACCCAGAGAAATTTATGTAGTGCTTCAAAGAGTCTTGTTATGTGAATGAGAAAATGACTTGATAACCCACTGCCTCACTAAAAGCCACAGAACTCCCCTTTACAGCCTTACAGTGCTCTCTCATGTGCCTTTTGTGCCTCATTGTGGCATTTCATAAAGCAACTCTTGCCAGCACCATCTGAAGCACCTTCTGCCAAGCCTGCAGTATGTTTTCAGTGAGCTTGCGCTACACATTTCAAATTTGAACCTCAGTCTCCAGACTCATCAGCAAGTCATACAGAAGCAGCTCATTCACTTCGGATATCACGAGCAAACCTGACAGGATTTATGAATAAATGCTGTTTGCTACCTGCAGAGAGTTTACTGACAGTTTCTTTCTGTTCTGTCTATCACTATGGCCCCTCTTTCCTTCCTTCTTTCTCCCCACACTTCATTAACACTTTCTCACACAAATCTTAAACCTCCCTCCTTCATTTTCTGTTATGCTCACAAAAAATTCGAATGCTTTCCAACGCCATGAATGGAAGAGAACTCTTGTGCTTGTGCTTCGCTCCCACACACCGAAACACTTTTTTTTCTAGCTCGTTCTCTTCCCTCTGCCTCTCTCTGTGGTTTGGTGAGACAGCTCTGCAGTGTGGGCAGAGTGTCTGAGTTGGATTTGACCTCAGCAGCGCTGTTGCCCAGCTGACTTGTGTCTTTGACTCTCATGGCCTCAGGCTGTGAATCTTACGTAAAATATGGTGCCATTACTTTCTTTTCAAGCTCTGCAGATCACCGGGGAATCAGATCGGTGTGTGTGCGTGTGTCAGAGTGTTTATGAAAACATACTTGTTGTGTGCAGGCTGAAAATAGCGCTGAGCATCAATACAGGGGATTTAGAGACATCAGACCTGAACTTGACAATAGTTTCACATCTGTGGGAAAATTTTAGGGTTGTTTGAGGACTTACATTTGTAGCAGTTGATGCCAAATGAAAGTTCTGCAGACCCCCTGATAAAATGAGGGTGCGTGTCACGCTCTGCATATGTATTGCAGGGACATAAATTTTTCATCCACAGTGATAAGACTTTTTCTCTTATGTGAGGGGATGATGTTCACCCATTTTGATTTTTAATGTGGTTAAATGACCAGAAACAAATCTGAGATAATGCTTAGTGTGAGCGACTCTCTCTTTAACAAAAGCTGTGGTAGATATGAACATCTCAGAGGCATGATTAAGTCTTATTGATCTGGATTTCTCCGTTTCATTAATTGTGTTTGTTACAGTATTGGCTTCTCACAGTGCATACAGCTTCTCAACTTATTCTACTGCTGCAGGTGTTAATGTATCGCGCTATAAATGGAAATGTAAGTGTTCCTCGCTACTGAACAGGACACAGTGAAAGACGCTGGATATCAAGAGAATGAAGCATGTCATATGTCTTCTACAATGATTCAAACATGTGTCTGAGCTGTATGGTTGTTTTTCTTTTAAATGTTTTATATTCGTTTTATCATGTATTGCAATTTTAATCTTGACAACCTGGTTAGGACTGTCATAACACTGTTCAGGACATCTTGGTCTCAGTTTTGAGACTGGTCTTGCATTACATAATGTCCAGACTCTGGGGTAGTCTAGACAATATGTAATGTAAGTGGGCTGTGATGTGGCTTGACCAGTAATGAGAGCTGGGAGACAGGTGAGCAGCGTACACGCCATGGCTCACTGCCATGCCACTCTGCGTTAGAAACAACAGACCAGAATGGTCGGGGCAGTGAGTAAACATGCCTGGACCAAAAGTGAAATTTACAGAGCTACACCTGGCAGGTAACTCTGGGCTGAAAGCAAATTTTCCTGCCAGCAACAAATGGATTCAGTTCTCTAGAGCTAGAGGAATCCAAAAAGGTCGTCTTTGAGGTCTGTCTTTCAACTTCACAGTGTTGTTTTTCTCATAATGGACCGCAGAGAGATGGTAATAGCATAGAGGCATGCCTGAAATGTTTAAAATAAATGTGTAGCACTGGATTAGTATCTTTACACCTTGATGATCCTCTGCCAGTACTGTTTAACCATATTGATGTGTCAGCACTGCTGGGAAGAATTGATCAGGCTTCATGAAGTGAACCTTACTAAGGTTTGTAAAGATGAATGCCTCATGCCTGAGATGACTGACAGCCGTGTTTCTGTAACTGAGAAATCTCCTGACACCTCCTGGTGGGGTGTGATTGTTCGTTGTATCGACATGTCTGCTTTAAAAACAGACATGAAGGCAACGGTTCTGACACTACCACTACAGCCACTTCAAACACATCCCAGTCACACGCTATTTTGTGAAAGTTATACATAATAGCTAAGGAGAGGAAGAAAAATGTCCTGGAAAAGCAAGCAGTATTTGGTGAAGACTGAGATGGTGAGTGGTTTTGCCACTATGTTTTCCCCTGAGCTTGGTACCAACAGACTGTGTTTGCATCTAAAGAGGCTCTTGGGTCTAGAAGTAACATGCCAGAAGCCTGAAAAAGATTTGGCTCGTGTCATGTCACAGCTGAGTGTAATCTCTAAAAACAGATATCTGCATATGCATGCAGAATCTGTAGGCATCGGTACAGAATATTGGTTTCGGAGGAGTTCTGTTTTCTGCTTTTAGTCTGAACACTATTGACCAATCACAGTTTAGCAGGCTTTGGTTTCTTGCAGGCGAACAGTCAGTGTGGAGAGCAAAAGAGTCAAACGCATTGGCAGAAATGCAAATTCAGAGCCCAACGGCCATTGACAATAGTTGAGGTTTTTATTAGCTTCTGTCTATATTTCTTTTCTAGTTTATCTTTATTCATATGCAGGCATGTGTTTATATAGATTAGCCAAAAATGTTATCTTGCAAATCGAGCCGTAAACAATGACCAGTGCACGAAAGAGGAATTCTTGGCTCGGCTATATGCTTGTTACACAGGATCTTCTGAAATATTGGCCGTTGAGAGGCTTTATCGTTGACAGCCAACAGAAAATGGATTCCCCGGTTGAGCTTAGTGTAATGATGTTGCCAAAGGATATGTTTGCTAACGTAGGGCTGTAGGAACATTCGCCACTACTATCAGGGACACTGGGACTAAGGACTCAATAACAAAACTCTGAACACAGTGGTTAGAGGGAAAAGTCTTTATTTACAAGCAGGGTTCGGCAAAAGTATCCAAAGATACTCAGCAAAGGTCTGAGTCAAGAAACTGAAAAATAGTCTGATAAACACTGGGAAAACACAAAGACTTAAGGCTGAATGCTTCTGGAGCAGAAAAGATGAACTGGCCGAGACGAAGGGGAGCGCACAGACTGCAACAGGGAGGAAGGTGATAACGAGGGAACGGAGACAGCAGGGCTGATGAAACACATCAGGGCAGGCAGACAAATACTAAGGTGGGGAAACACACAAAGGCAGGATGTAAAACAAGAAAAGACACACAAGGTCAGTGTGACAAAATAAAACATGGAGAACTGAATAAATGCAACAAAGAAAGACCTCAAAACCCCAAATGTAGTAAAGAAATCATGACAATAGAACATGGGAAAACCAACACAGATTACTAATGTAACAAAATAAAAAGATAATAAGGCCAAATAGTGCTAAACAAAAAGTACGAAGGCCTCTGAATGCAGAGCAGGACTGTGACAACTACAAGCTGCATCAAGCCAAAGACCTCTCTTGTTGGTACTCCTACACCCCAGAAATACAAATACCAGAGTAGATTTAATTTAATAAAATACAAATAAAAACAACATTTGTAATTTCTCAGTTCTCCTAAAGACGAGATCCTCTAAGGTTGGTCAAATGTCTTGATTGTCATTCTACAGATGATTTGATGGATGGTAGGTATTGTGTCAACAATACTGTTACATGATCGTATGGAAGTCTCACATATGTTAAACAGGTGTTAATGTCCGCCTGTTTACTGCTCTATGAATGCCATCATATACTGCTTATCTGTGCCTGGCAGTCACTTATGCTACGAGGGTGTTGTTGTGCAAGCCAGGTTTTTGTTGGGTTAGTCACATGTTCATGAGCACAAATATATCCACATGTCAGGCAGCGACATGTCAGGCAGGAACGTTGACAATATGGATTCAGTGCATTGCTGTTTAGATAATATATGTACAGTAAATATGTGCACAGACGTAGAGGACATATTTAAAGCATGTGTTAATCCTAACAGAAGCTGCACACTGTAGTAACTGATAGTGATGCTACTCTTTAGTGTCATACACTGTAGATTATCCATCTGTCTGTATGTAAGAACATTTAGAGAGAAGCTCTACAAATTTGGCACAAACGTCCACTCTGACTCAACGACTCAAAGGTTAAGATAGATGAATATTTATTAGTCCTTTACGAAATTTGTTGTGTGCCCTTCAGCAATCGTCAGATAAATGAACAGACAACTATATTAACACTGACAACACCAAAAACATCGTCACCGTGACCATGTGTCCATCACATTCACATGAATGCGACGTCACAAGAACACTTTTAGGGAATTTTTACAAGTTTGGCACAAACGTCCACTTGGACTCAACGATAAACTGTTTTTA